GATTGAACCTGACAAATTTTTTTGAATTGGATTGAATAAGCAGTTCGATAATGCTCGGTTTAGAAGAAGTCTGTACGGGTATACTGCCTATAAAGTTTGATGAAAATAACTAAAATTGCAAAAAAGTTATGACAAAAACCTACTATGTTTTGAAAAATTTCAACAATCTGTATTTCGAAAACGAATCATTCTTCGTTAAACATTTTATAGGAAAAAGTTGTTTATTTTGACGAGATCCAACACATACTTAGTTTTTGTAATGTTCTCAGCAACTTCACTTAGCTTAGGATCGATATAGAAAATTGTAAATATCTCGAAAACGATCACCTCCAGCGTTGCTGAGAAAGTGTACTTTTTTACTCGAAAAAGGAGTAGGAATTAGGTTTTTTCATGAAAAGTACCAAAAGTTCACTGTCAAAAAAATTAGGGCAATTTGAAATAAATAATGACAGCGTACGCAGCGCCCCCTAGATGTTACATGAAAATTAATACGAAATTATGATTTCCCACGTCAAAAAAATCCCGGGTACCGAATTTCGTGCAAATAACTTATTTTTTGCAAGAGTTATTTTCAAAAAGCGAACAAAAAATTCAATTTCAACACCCCGTATCTCCGAAAAGAAGCATTTTCGAAAACAAGTTCATATGGACTTTTTTTCTTAAAATCGTCTCAGAAATACCTCACTTGAATATTTTAACGCACTTATGTTAACGTAACGTAACGTAATGTATAACGGGACTACCAAACAATTCATAACATCAATCTTGATGAAGCTACATCTGTTTATTCAATGTGTTTTGCAAATCACCATGAACGGATATAGCGTTCAACAACACGTGCAAATAGTAAAATTGTTTTATCAAAATGGGTGTTCTGTTCGGGCATTGTACCTCGCGCCACGCCCATATTACAGTCGCTATCATGAGGACTATTTCTAATATGGTGGATGAATTTAGGTCCACTGGTTCAGTAAACGCTTGACCAACTCCCGTACGTCGACGAAACGCAAGATCTGCCGAAAATATCGCCGCTGTTTCTTGGAGTATGCAGGATAATTCGAGGTAGTCGCAAACCACAACTTTGGGCGAATTTTGCGCCGTGACTTCGGCGTCGTGACCCGTACAAAATTCAACTGATCCACGAACTGATTGTAAACGATCATAGACAACGACGTATGTTCGCTAAATGTTCTCTGGAGTAGCTGGCAACTGACCCTAATTTTCATCCAATAATTATCTTCAGCAATGAGGCCCATTTCTGGATGAATAGGTACGTAAACAAACAAAATTGTCGAATTTGGGACGATACTAATCCACATGAGATCCAAGAGCGTACAATGTATCTCGAAAGTGTCAGTGTTCGGTGTGGATTTTGGGATGGCGGCATCGATCCATATTTCTTTGAGAAGGACATCGGTCAGGCCATCACTCTCAACGGCGAGCACTATAGGTCGATAATTACCAACTTATCTTGGCCTGAATTGAATTATCTTGACACCAGAATGGCGCTACGTGTCACACAACTCATGCCGTATTAGATAATCTACACAAGCGATTCGAGGGCATGGTCATCTCACGTGGAGGTGAACTGGCCACAAAGATCGTGCGATTTGACCCCGCAGTGGTCCTCAAATCTAAGCCTGATTTATATGCCAGAGTCTTGGAAAATTGGACGATGATATGTCACACACACTTTGTTTAATTTGAATTCAAAGATAGAAAGCGTTTAATGAAAGACCTATACAACCATAATGTGAGTGATAGTAGTAGTCCGGAAATATATAAAAACCGCAAGCAGCAGGCCCTGAAATGGATGGGTGGTGGCAAAAAAGTAGATTTGGAGGAAATCAAATGGGTCGCAAACTCATTCCAGGTTCTTGGAATGGATAACAAATATATTTCTAGGGATTCTAAGAAATGATTGATCTCATAAACGGAGAAACTTTACAACCGCCAAATTATCCTTAAGGAAAAGAAGAAAATCTTGACTGGCAGCTTTTTTGACATAAAATCGTTGAAATTTCGAGAATGAATGGCAAATAAAAAAATCTAGAGACCTTCAACTGGATGCATGTGAGTGAGCTGTACTCTGAAAAAGGAGTTGCAAGACTTTGCTACCAAAATATCGGCATTATTCATCAACATCATCCATTTCGACATCCTGTATCTTTTCATGTAGAACGATTAACTATATTTCCGTTTAAATAATGTCACTAATATAATAATAATCTCGACGACTTCAAGTGTTTTCATCACTCCTATCTCTTGATAATTCGCTAATATTAGTCTTTGTTCATGTGACTGATATCCATTCGTGAATATTATAGTAATTCGAAAAAGTACATTTGAAATCTCATCTGGAATATTATATGACGTATTATTATTCTCATGAACTCAAATATCACTGTGATATGACAGTTGAATCAAAAACCTATATGTTCAATTATCTAATAAAATTTGAAAGAGATCATGTATGATTTAAACGTAATCTTTTCAAGTTATGAAAAAATTTTATGATAATAATAATTTAATTTTATTGACAAAATGTACTACAAGATGTAGTAGGTATACAGACAATTCTTGAATGATATCTATTTAAAAAAAATCTGTTAAAAATCTGTTTTTCCGTTTACTAGCTGTCGCATCCCTACGAACGACAACTCTCCAAAGTCAAAACTTGTGCGAGCTAAGGACTAACGGGGTCCTACCTTTTAACGTGTGATTCCTAACACGGGTTGGACGATAGCAAGTGATAATCGATCGTTCAGCCTGATGCTTGAACCAGCGACCGACACGGTGGTCGATTTGAGTGAGTGAACAAAGCACCCACGTGGAACCGACCGGCTACCATCCTTCATTTTTGTCAAGAAGCAGAATTCAGGTCCTGATCTTGTCATTTGAGTAACGTAATCAGAACTTGCTCTTCTACATCTTCATAACAATAATTATACATTAACTTTAATTATCATCAAATCATGCTATCACCTACTCTTAGTTCGTTCAATGAAGGACAATGAAAGAATAATAAATAAACGGAGACATTTTGGCTGATCATTTTACCATCAGAAACAAATATGGTTACCGAAATTCGATAAAATACTCCCAAAAACCAAAATGTAATTGAAAACATAATGTGTACAGTGTATATGTACACATACACATATAAATATATACACACATATAAGTGAATCATTAATCACAACTAGACATAAATTTTGTAGAAGAAATTCATTTGAAAGTAAATCCTCCTTCAGCTCCTTTCTGAATTTTGCAAGCTACAGTGACTTTAATGAATCATGAAGTCGATTATACAGTCGAGATATATTACATGCTGGCTATATTATTTCAATGATAATATTTTGAAAGATATCAATATTGTGAAATATTTTACACAATGATTCATGAGTTAAAAATCTGAATGATTATTTGTAAATTTAGGGTTTGACCCAGTCTTTATTCACAAGTTTCTGAAAGTAAAGTCTTTCCGTCTCTGAAAACTAGAAACATAATTATATCACAGATGTCGTTCAAAATCAACTCAAATTCATCGGATTCGTTTAAGGATAAGTTTCAATTATATCTAGTACTAGCGAACCGCTCTGGCTCCGTACGGGTGCAATGCTGATACTAAATATACATATAAACGCGTGCGATCGCTGCTAATCATAGCGGCCTTCGGCGTGCTATTTATAGGCACGCGCCGTCGGCCACGCGACCAGTACCGCCGCAACCGCTATGTCCCTGCATTTCAAATCTGTAATATCTTCGAAACTATTCATTCGAATTACAAGCCGCAAAGAGCCACATTGATCCATATTAAGGTACCTACTTATTTGGATGAAAATTAATGCTGTATTGCTTAAAATCGCTTCGCAAATGAGCAATTATTTATCGAGGATAGATATGGTTATTGTGGGTTACCCCGAAGAGACATATATCACTGCGGACTTTTTTGTAGATCTTTCTAATGTGTGGTACATTGTTTTATTTGTCTCGTAGGGCTCCGCCAGCGTTTACAATGTAAGCGCAAAAATATTTGTTGTTTTACGTTATCACATTAGAAACCTCCAAAATTATCAGGGTTTCTCTACTATATTATGCATGTTAAATACATATAAGCCTTCCTCTTGAATCACTCTATCTATTTAAAAAACCGCATCAGAATATGTTGCGTACTTTTGAAGATCTGAGCATACATAGGTCATACACTTATTTATTTGCATGCTATTTCCTAAGCTTTTCAATTAATTAAGTTAAATGATTGAAAAAAAATTAAAAAAATATTATTTTGTCAGATTATGCGAATCCCTCTAAATAATCGTCAGATTGTGAGACAGCACGTCTCAAACATAAAGATGAACCATATATATCTTAATCTGACGCGCTTGAGTATTTCAGAATGACGATTTTTTTGCACATTATAATAATGGTCGCGAGTTTGCGTCAGATCGAAATCGTCATATTATTGAATGAGATCTTTTTTTGGTGCACTTAACACCTCCTTAGAAAATCTGACGCACTCGATTAAATTTTTTTTTCTTTTCATTTTTAACCGTCACGTACAACCACCCACATCATGCAAACGATCAGATTAACATACCAATATTATTAAAAATACGTAGGACATTGATGGTATCAATATCTGACGCGCTCGAATATGTTCATACAAGAGTTTTTTTTTTACATATTTAATAATCTATAGCCCCACCGATGAAAAGGTATATATTATATAACATTTTTTTCTTCTTATCATCTAAACTTAGCATCCTAATAGGTCTCTATGACACTCGAGTAAATCCCCATTTTGCATCGTGGGGTCCCCTGCTATAAATATTTCTTCAATTCGTCGTTTTTCAGTACTAAAAGAGCTCCAGAAAAAATTGTTCCTAACTGAAAAATATCATTTCAATCATTGGTTTCAACAAAAAAAGACAATCCTCAAGAATAATTATCATTACTGTGGACTACTCTAACTGAGGTGACTCTTTCATCATTTGTAGGTTTTATTCGACTCAGATACATAGATGCCAGCAAAGTGTCAAAAGTCCCTGATGATACGGATGTTACATACGAACCGATCCCTGGAACTTCCAACAGTTCCGATTCAGACATGTACGAGTACAGAACAATCACAGATCTGAGAACTCCAAAACGTATACAAATTGAAAGATTACCAGAAAGAAGAGATACTCTACCGAACACCTGTTTTACTACCAGAAAAATAAGAAAGGCCGACACTGACCTTCTAGAAACTAATGAAAATGGGGAAAACATGGTTCTGAAGGAGGAGGACCTGGTAGATACTGTGACTTACATAGATGCAGAGGGATTTATGAATCACTTCAAGAACGTACTATTTCCTAATTCTGTGGGAAGGGCTTTAGGTTTTGATGCGACGGAAATAAGTTTGACTGATTCCATTCCAGGAAAAGTTTTCTGCAATTTGAGTGATGAGGAAGATAATCCACTTCCGTGCGAGGTGAGTACAGGATATCTGAAAAATATCTATAAAATATCAATATAAAATTTTTTCTCTGATTCATTGGAACTTTTTAGGCTGATATTGAGCCTTTAAGTTTTTTTGTCTTCCAGAACAAAATGGGGAAGCGGAAAAGCAACACATTTTTCATTTCACTTTTTAGTTGTAATTCAACGTAGAATAGTTTGGATCGATATACTTTTTCGATTTTTAAAATTCACTAAACTACCATCTGGACTTCTTCAGATTGCTGTCACAAATCAGAAGTTGCCCTAGGAAATTCACAGCATTCATAAAATTATCACAACAGGAAATCTATATATCGTAACACCAATTCACAGAAATGTTTCAATTGAGAACCTGCAGCAACAGTAGCATTAGCGTCAACTGTCGGTCCATCGGTTCTGTTCTGGTATTTATGTCCCTGGAAGAGTGGGGTGCGGGGCCGGTAGTGGGGAAGATGGTGGTATTGGTAATGAAAACATCAGACGCAATCTTCACTTCACCAACTCATCCTAATATCAATGTTAAGGATGGTTATCAAACTCAAATATTCATCCTTTCATTTGGGATATTTTTCTCAGGATGAATAATGAAAAAGCCAAACACATCAGTAACACCAAGATCAACACTCAGAGAAGAAAAAGCTCTAGCGTCACTGATCATTTATAAAGAACCCCAGTCAGTCACATCCGATTCCCCAGTCCTAGTATACAACGTCTCCAATACTCGAAAGGCTTCAACTTCTCTTTAGCACCCAAATCAATTTCCATCGAAACCATATTCACTCAAACCGAATCAGTAATTTCCCATCTTCCTGAAAACCTGGCCGAAGAAGTTTGGATGCGAATGAAAAATTAATTCCATTATAGGATAAAAGTCATTCTTGAAAAAATGTTTTTTCGATTTGTAATATAGGCACTTTTTTTTCAGGTTATACCATGTGTAAAGATACCATGGCCTGCAGAACAAGCATTTGAGTTCAAACTCAGAGAAGATAGGCCAACTATAACGGACTTGAGAACGGGTATTCGGTTTAAGTGGCCAACAGATGATATGATCAAAGAAATCACTTCAATGAACTGTGTAGCTGTTCCAAAGGGTTATTGGATGAAAAAAGGAGAAAACCCCGATGCGAGCATCGAATGGGAAATTGCCTTCCCAAAAGCCGAGAGATTCTTAGAAGCCAGGATGTCAAGCGAGCAAATGCGATGTTTCCTATTCTTGTTGGTCTTGCATAAGACCTACATCGAACCTTACACAAAACATAACGGTCTTCTAGTGGAACACATCAGGTGCCACATGTACTGGGAATGCGAAGCCAACTACAGAGACTGGCCTCAGCACCGTCTGGGTTTAAGGTTGCTCAAAGTTATTAGCAATTTAGCAGATCGCCTGGCACAAAACGACATGCCGGATTTCTTCATCAGAAATAATAATCTTTTTCGAAATATCCCGAACATGTACTTACAATTCGCTCAAAAAGTTTTGCATGATGTTCTCCAGGCCCCCACTATGTATTTTCTCAGGGCATTGAGAAATATCCAATACGCCAGCGGAGATTTTTATACACCTCTGGATTTCAAAGATCTCTACAAAACAATCGATCCGGTGCCTCATATCAACATTTTCAGACCGAATCTTGCCATCTTGAACATGAGGCAGAAGAAATATCAAGATACCGAAACGCAATTGAGGCACTTGAGAGAATTAGAGAATAGAAGAAAGTGGACAGAGCGCAAAATGAATCTCATAATGAAAGAAAATGAAAGAAGAGAATCAGTTGATTCAATCAACCTGGATGTAAGTTTCTTTCTTATAACAAATTCATACAATGCGAATGTAAAAAGTATCAACTTTCGAACAGAACTAGATATCAAGGTCCAACAAAATTCACAAATTATGCATCATTTTTATGTTTTTTTTATGCTAAAATAAAAGTTTCGTGATAAATTGTGATCAGGTTCACATTATTTTCAAGAATTCACAAACAAACGATCAGTATCATAGTTTCAATAAAAATATAGGATATTCCAACAGGATCTTCCGAACTCTGACAATTGTAACGGCCATCTTGTTGAAGCTACATCTTTCAAATTAGTTATCATTTATTCAGTATGTTTCGCCAAATCACCATGTACGGATATAGCTTTCAACAACACATGCAAATCATAAAATTGTTTTATCAAAATGTCTGTTCTGTAAGGGCAACGTACCGCGCGCTTTACGGTCGTCTTAATCGCAATGTGGTGGATGACTTTGAGTCCACTAGTTCAGTAAATGATCGACCAACACCCGTACGTCGACGAAACGCAAGATTTGCTGAAGACATCAGTGCAGGAAAATCCGATTGGCAGTCGATTTTGCGACGCTCACCAAAACTCGGCCTTTCTCAGACCACAACTTGGCGAATTTCGCGTCGTGACTTGGGATTGCACCCGTACAAAATTCAAGTGACCCAGAAACTGAAGATAACGACCATAGACAAAGACGTGTATTTGCTGAATAGGCTCCGAAGCAGTTGGCAACTGATCCTAATTTTCATAGAAAAATCATCTTCAGCGATGAGACCCATTTCTGTATGAATGGGTACGTGAACAAACAAAAATGTCAAATTTGGGACGATACTAATCCACATGAGAATCAAAATCGTCCAATGCATCCCGAAAAAATCACTGTTTGGTGTGAATTTTGGGCTGGCGGCGTCATCAGCCCATACTTCGAGAACGACATTGGCCAGCCAGGCCATCACTGTCAACAGCACTATAGGTCGATGGTTACCAACTTCTTTTGGCCTGAATTGGATGATTTGGATATCAACGACATGTGGTTTCAACAGGACGGCACTACATGCTACACAGCTCGTGCCACATTGGATATTCTGCACGAGCGATTTGAGGGCATGATCATCTCACGCGGAGATATTGTGAACTGCCAACGATATCGTGCGATTCGACCCCGTTAGATTGTTTCTTGTAGGGTATTCCAAGTTGCTGGTATATGTGAATAAACCACAAACCACAGCGGTCCTCAAAGCCAACATAACTCATCTCGTCGGTCAAACTCAACTTGATTTATGCGCTAGAGTCATGGAAAATCGGGCGTTTCCGATGTGTTCCATTCAGAGAAGCCGTGGCGGATATTTGAACGAACATAATGGCATCAAAAGATCCTTCAAACCAATAAAATATCACACACAAACCTTGTTTTATTCAAGTTTGAATATAGAAAGCGCTCAATGAAACACCCTATTTATTTAAAACTCTAATTTATTATAATAGATGTTCAAAATGGTAACATTTAATTTTCCGACAGTCATTAAGTGCGTTCATGTATTCTATTCATACATTTTTTAATATTATTCGTTATACTATACGATGGATAAAATTGCAAAATCTACGTTGAGCACCTTGCAGACTTCCATCCAACTTTTAACGACTTCATTTCGGTCCATATAAATGCCGTTTTCACTCCTCGTGTGGAAGCCCCCACTCATTCTTTTGCATTTTGAGGAGGAGACTTGGCGCCCTGGCTCGAGGTGCAAAAGACGTGGGAGCTCTCGTCTCTTGAGACGTGGCGGCTCCCGCTCTTCGTCTGAAAGCTCCATTGGACTCGTTGCATTTTGGCGCTAAGAGTTTGAAATGGCTCACTAAATCATCCGATATGACACCCTTAAATTTCATTGGAAAGATTTGTGTGTTCTAAGGTATGGATTACACAACCGCAGTTTATTCTAGGTTTCTTGGTAGTTGCAACGAATCACCACAGAAACATTTCATAATGTAGAAAATGAACAAGTGAAGAGACTTCATTAACTTGTGATCCAACCCCAGACAGCGCTTTTTTGACCCGTTAGGTCTCATCAGTCGTGCTAGGCCGAATCACTGAATCGTCCTAAAAAGAACACGCCTTCAATTGCAGATATTCCATGTACTGTATAAAAAACCAATAATCTGGTTGATTTATTAATTGATTGTGTTGTGAACGGATGTCAAAAAATGAAGTTGATCAATCAAAAAAGTAAATCCATAATACTTTACTTTTCAGACATCTACTCACAGTACAAAAAACCAATCAATTCTCACTAATTTCATTTAGAAAACTCCCCATTTTGTGTGGTAAAAATAAAAATCAAAAATTTCTTGTGTTATCAATTCAAATATGAAATGATTAGTACACTATTTCTCAGTCGTATTGTAATTAAAATAAAATAGTTATTTTAATGGGAGGGATATACTTGTTGATGGATTGACATCAAATTATTAATATTTGGCTTCAATAGTATGTGCCTATGTGGAGTCAAACCACATTTTGTTTCTTCACTATCGAAACTAGATACATTTTCATGGACCCCCGCTCACGAATTATGAATCCCCATTTTCTGGTTACGTCAACGTAGATCCCCGTTGAATCTCTCGTGGAGCCCTGGGAGTCCATCTCAACCATCTAAATCACTGATCTAGACTATCAAGTGGTCAGCACTTCCTAGGAGCTCGTAACTATCGTTTTTCATTACGCCGATTAATTTACTTGAAAGCAGTTTGACTTTTTCTCTTTGTCAACACTCTTTTCTGACACTTTTCAGATCATATCCTTCAGTTCTAAATTTCAAAAAATACAAATCTATTTGAGACAAGTCAAATTGTTTGCTCCTTACAAATCTGCACAATGTAGGGATAACGGTAACAAATATATGAAAATGGTTCCCTAATTTCGTAATTGAGTCTACCACCTTTACATAGAACGTTTTTTTATGGTCTCCCCCCAACTTTCGTACTTTATTACAATGGTCCCAGCAATTATCAAGAAGGAAAGTACACTTCCTTCTGTTCTATCGATATCTTGCTTGAAATCCTAAATTGTCTTTACAATCCCGCTGTAATGAAAATATTGAAGTTGAATTACCCACTCCATTTTCGAACTTCTTCCATAATCTAGATCCATTATTTTCATTATTTGCCTTTGAGACTTTTCTTCTCCTGGCCAAATTTTCATGGAGCACATAAATACAAACAAAAAAGAGAAGAAACACGAATGCAATCAGAGAGAGAGAGAGAGATGAATTCGTACACCAATTCAAATACTACATGGACAACGTTTATTATGTTTTTATGTAACGAACCGGCAACCCCAGAGGGCTTTTAGCGATACTGATGGTTTACGAGATCCATTGTAACTGCGAATCGGTCTACGTTAAAACCACGAAGAGAAGTGCAAGTACCCGCGGCTCTCTGAATAAAAAAAATGTGTCGAAAATATCGACAAATCAGCAGTAAATTCAGAAGCGAAGAAATTAATTCAACCGGAAGGAAGCGGGGGTCAACAATAATTAAATTTGGCTACCTGCACTCAATTGCTGTCGTATCAGGTCATTTACCTAAACCAATACGAACAAAGCCACGTCCAACACCGATGGAAACATATTCTTGAGTATCTGCTTTGAAACGTCAGCCGCAGTCGCAGACGAAATGTCATCCATAAAAGCCGGCAGGCAATGACCAACAAACCCGAAAAGTAGGTTCGACAGAGTTATCTCTGTCCGTGAAAGTGTATAATTTTTGAACGTGCAATAGTTCGCAATCAATTCAAATGTTTTCAAATTATACTTTTCATCTGCACATTTCATTAATCTATGATAATTAGATTAGAAATTTTGTGCTTATGCTCATAACAGTGTTTGACATTTGTCACATATGGATTAATATTTTCCAACACATGCTGAAACTCAAATCCCATCTAGTTTATCGAATTTTCAATCTTTGGATGGTGACGATGATAAGATAGAGAAATAAACAAGCACTTCGTAGAAGTTGAAAAGCTTGGAAGTACCAAAGTATGTGATTTTTTACATAAAAATACTCGAACTAAACGTGAACCGAACTGACTAGTAGCGGTTTTAATTTTATAACTCAAAATATTGTGTTTATGTAAATACTCATACTACGAACGAACATTACATTTCATCAGATTCAATTATTGGATACCAATAATGTGAATACTATAATTACGTTCCCATTCGAGAGAACATGTGGTTTTTCCAAATTTCCACACAGACTATAGAAGTTACAATGGAAATGTATCAAAGAGGTTTGTTCCTATTTCCCACTTATGGATATTTGCAATACCCTTAACAAAAATTGAGATTTTTCCAATTTCGAGCAACATTTTCAGAAAAATGAATATTGTTTTGTTACCCAGCTTAGGACGAACAATAGGTAAAATATTTTTTCTATATTTTCAGTTTTTATTCCAACTTGTCACCCGTTAACGAACCATTCAAGTCCACTAATGAGTTTTAAGCAGTTAATTCCTAACAGAAACAGATCGTAATAGTGCGCATACTACTTTGTTGAACAACATGTCAGAGTTTTTTGGCTTATTGCAAAATAATTTTGTTTTCAATGCACAGTGAGATGCACAGACTTTTAGACTAGGTGTTCGGCAATCACTTCTGTCTCGTTGAAAAATTCCTAGATCAATTAGTAAAAGAGCTCATGTATGAGCTGATCCTCAATCTCGATTGGACGTATCTAAAAGCGTTTCGCAATGCAGATGACGCCTGTCTTCACTTTTATGAAAAATTATACGGTGTATTTGATCGCTGCGTGCCAAAATTCTTGATAAAATCTAAAAATAATTATCCAGCCTTCCTCGATGGTGCATTGATAAAGAAAATTCGAACTAAAACAAAACTTTGGTGTAAATACAAAAGAAACGGCAACATTCACGCTTTTAAAAAATTCATTCAGAAAACTGAGAGCGAGATTTTCCATAACCCCGATAAGTTTTGGTCTTTCATTAACAAGTCAAAATATATGAATGAAATCGGAGATAAAATGTTACATGAAGGCAAGCTACTCGATAATCCCTCAGATATTATTGATGGTTTTGCAGATTTCTTCAGTGGTTCTTATATAGTGTCAACATCAAGTGACCATGCGAACAACAGTAGTGATATTCCCAGCTTGGTAATTAAAAACTTTAGTATTGAAGATGTTTATCATACCCTAATAAAATTAAAGCCTAAATTTACTGCGGAACCTGATCATATTCCAGCATTCATCAATAAAGATTATCCCTCAGCTCTGGTTAAACCACTAACAACTCTAAATAATATATGCGTGAAAACATCAACTGTACCATCAATATGGAAAATGTCGAAAGTCTGCCCAATTTTCAATTTTCATTATCAGCCCCAATCAACACGGTTTCATGAAAAAACGTTCATCCACCACAAATCTTGTAACAATCACCCAATGTATTGCAGACGGTATTGATTGTCAGTCTCAAACTGATGTCATCTACACTGATTTTTCTAAAGCGTTTGACAGACTTGACCATAGTATCCTGCTGAACAAGTTTTCGACTTTTGGGTTATCCAATGAATTAATTACCCTTTTCAAATCGTAATTTTACAACCGTAAACAATAAGTCCAACTCAATGGCCTCAAGTCTCAAGTCAAGTGGTGTACCACAAGGCTCAACTCTAGGACCCCTACTGTTCAATATGTTCATTAATGATATCGGAGCTGCGATTGATGTAAATTTCCTTTTATACGCAGATGACTTGAAACTCTATCATAATATAACATGTTCTAATGAGTACCAACGTCTCGCCTTGAATTTAAATCGCGTTGCTACATTGTGTCGGAAGAATAGTCTATCTTTCAACATATCCGAATGTAATGTTTTACTCACTGAAAACGAACTTGAATTTACACAACTATATCATAAACAATCAAGTTCTGGAGCGTCCTGACACACTCACTGATCTAGGTGTTACCTACTTTTGTTTCATCCCTCTCTTTCAATAAACATATTGACACTACTCTAACAGCAGCTTATCGCATGTATGGATTCTTAGAAATACAAAAGACTTCCAAAAAGCTTCAACATTGAAATTACTTTATTTCACTTTTGTTCCATCTAAGCTGGAATATGCATCTGTCGTGTGAAGTCTCTACTATCAGGTTTATGTAAATCAACTAGAAGCCCTACAGAGGCGCTTCCTCAAATAGATGTCTTTCAAACTTGAAGACACGTATCCTACTGTAGGAATACCCTATTATGAATTGCTTGTAACTCACAATTTTTGTAGTCTCGAGGTGAAGCGTAAATATTATTCATTCCTTTTTTTATTCAAGTTCATAAACAATATCAGCACCTGCTCTCAACTGTTACATATGTTGAATTTTTGGGTTCCTAGATGGTCATCTAGGAATAGTGTCATATTTTCTCTCAACACTCCGCATACAAATATAATGAAAAAATCTCCAATTTATACAATGTGCGATACCTCTAATTCTGTTAGTCGTATCCTAGATATTATCAACGGCCAGATTATACACATCAAAAGACATTTCTTAGCTAACTGACAGTTACTTCTACTGCTACTGCTATTGCGGCAGACATCATCGGTGATGTGACGTTGATTGCGACTGTCAAACTCTGCGTTGACTCGCACATAGAGCAACCCAGTAAAAGAGCGGACCAGTCAGGAGTTAGCACTCACATGGACATCCCACCTCTATCGCCATCTACAATTTTAAATACGAGTGAACGCGGAGTTCGCCAGTCAATCGTTGCTAAGACTTCGAGATTTAACCTTCGTCCTCGCAATCGAACACGGCATACCAGCCATGATTTTGTTCTTAGGAATGTAGGATTTCCGATTTTTGACCAATACTTCGTGAACTATAGCGACTAACAAAACAGGTTATGAAGTTACCAATATTTTCAGTTTCATCGAAATCCTCAGTTTGTCAAAGAATGCCACAGGTGTCTCAGTTATGAAAAAAATTCAAGTATTTTTCATTGAAATCTTCAAGACAACCAAATCACAGGCACCTTGTGGTTGTGGATCTATGCTACCTACCTACGACTAAATGATGCTGATTATTTTCTCCAAACCACTTGTGGTTTGGACCTGCTCCGATGACCGCAGTACTCCTATACTCCTCCTATAGATCGTGATGTAATAAATCTGAACTTGTGCTGGTAAACAAATGTATAGTACCGTACTAGGTAAAATTTTGTTCGGTATTGAGAAGTTAACTAGATAATACCAAATAAATAAAGTAATACATCAATGATCAAGCCAGTACCACTGATGAAAGCTGTGGTAGATCGAAACAGCACTGTCTAGTATTAAATTATGAATGCAATTCTTTTGGGCTCTGGAATCATATGTCACCTGCTTTGGCAGAAGCTGCAAAGAAATGATGTCGACGTTATTGATCTTCATATTCTTAGTTTCGGTCTTCTGCCGAACCTATATGAGTAGATGGGTTCTCCATAAGGGGAGATGTCATCGCCACTTCATGATTGATTAGGTTTTAGAGTTTCGATTTCATCCACTCGATATTAGGAAGGTGAACTTCTCACAGGGTTATACCCGATTGCAAGTGATTATATTTATGGTTGATTCGATTTATAAAGGAATAACATTTTGTAGGAGAATTGTTAATCGATCCTCTGCTCCTTGACGTGTCAATTGACACGTCAAGAACAGGTGTCCGACCACGTCAATGAAGATGACTGCCGCAATTGCAGTTGAAACGTTTGGAGATTATAACCAAAGGAGACTACGGCAAACTCCGGAACCCAACCAAAATATTGACGCCAGCCGTGAGGCCTACATTCCTATATTATTTATTCATTCAGTGCAATGTGAACTTGGTTGGGTTCAGGGACGGATCCAGAACTTTGCTCTAGGTGCACACCAAAAGCGTTAAAACCGTATGAATCTGTGACCAAAGCCCTTCACGACGAACGCATCGGCTTGCAGTTTTTCCCGCTATATAAAATAGAGAATATTTGCAGATTTGTACAAATGAAAACAAAATCATCCTTAGATAACGTTTGTAATAAATTCTTCAACATCCAATTTTGTACAATCTTAATCATTAAATTTCAAAAATCTTGTGAAATTGAAAATACTATCTAAATTGTTTCAATTGAATTACTTCTGATTCAAAAATCTTAATATAACAGTAGTGTTGCCTAGTACCTATATATTGCCATATGAATTTGGATCGTTTCAAATACATTCCAAAAAGACAAAAATTACAATCACAAAAAATTGGTGTAGCACTTCATATGTACCATTTCTACATATCAAATTTCCCAACTCATTTAAGTACTTATTTTTCAATTAAGGTTGAAAAAAGTATTTTTATTCAGATCCACATATTTATCAAAATTTCTCTTCACAACTATGAAAAAAGGATAGTTTTATGATAGATATGGACCTAGCAATACTTCAGTGTTAGAACATTTGTTAATTAATTTATTTTTCAGTGGGTATGCGAAAAAGAATTCGACATTCACAAGAGGAGGAACATCTTAACGCAATTCGTCGATATCTTCATAGAAATAGCCAAAGACAGTGCGAAAATCGGATCTCAAACTCAGACTAGATTCTTTCTGAAGCAGGCTTATTACTTGACACGCATCATCGAGAATACTTCAGCAGAATTCATCAGCGATGCGCGAGATACCTTGGAACTTATCGCGTCCTTAGAAAAAGATTGCAACAAAAGAATAGCGACTGACGACAATGTACCGCCAATGACGCCAGCAAGGAATTCTGTCCAGATTGATTCAAGTATCAGTCATCAACTTAGAAATAACACGATCAATTTGAATAATCTGAATATGTCTTATAACATGACTGGAACTCCTCTTAAAGAAAGTCAGTCTTTTCATATGAAGAAAAAACCTCCGCATATAAACAGAGTGAAATCTGTGGACCCTTCTACAACTAGAAAAAGTGTTTCATTTGTTTAACCGTGAACAAGTGACAGACTGTGATATTCAATTCAGAGCTGCCATGACGTACTCTATTTGGTGCTGAAAATGTTAGTGCTTAGTAACTTGACAAAACTCTGTACGTTTTAAAAACAGACATACGATTGTATTTCAAAGGTATGACTTCCAAACGGACTAAAATGTTTGTATATACGGGTTATACACGGCTAAACGAGTATACACTCGTCAAGGTGGACTTGGGACATATTTTGCGCTTATAGACAAATCCAATTAATTTTCTGAAATTTCAAATGAGTGCGGCCATTGAATATTTACCTTGATAATCAGTTCAGTAACCATTCAAAAGTTGAGTTTTGAGTCGAAAGAGCCATTGAATCAAGAAACGCCAGATTGCTTTTTGCTCCTATAACTTCTTATCTATACATTTCTAAATTTATTCCGATTTTTTTCAACCCTTATTTCATTTGGAAATGTTATTTTATTCAGCTAAAATTTATTGATTGAATATTACCACCAATCAGCATTACACTGTCTAGATAAAAAAAAGAAAATCATATACAAAAATAAAAAGGGAATACTTATCATAAATATTATTCAAGGCCATATCTTTCATTATAGCGATATTTTTATTTAGTAGGTAGTTTTTTATGAACCTTTCAGATTTATTTTAAATCAATCACATTGTGGAAGGATCAATTCAAATGGAAAATGAATCTCTTTCGAATTGGATGGAATTTTGATAAGTTGTAGTTCATAACATTTCGATCAAAATACTTCATTTTCTTAGATATCGAAGGTCAAAGGTGCTATATCACAGCTGTTTAAAATGCGATTGCGACAGTCGCTTCACTTCGCAAATGAAAAATATTCGATTGGCATTGGCGTTCTAGTTTAAGGGGGGGTGAATGGGACCATTCGTAAAAAACATTTTTTTGTGAAATATTTAAAAAAATGTGTGAAAAGAAGTTTTTCCATTTTCTATGCAATGATATAAAAGTACCTATAAAGTCGATTTTTTTATAACATTTAGAATTCTCATGTTTTAATATTAATGTCACAGTATGAAATACTTGTCACAAGACAAAAATAATGAATGAAAATGAAACTACATAAAGTTATTTACCACTATATATGTAGCAAATTTGTATTGAAAAGACTAAATCGTTATCTTTTTGATAAGCTATTTTATGCAGAGACTAGAGAATTACTCTCCCTCACACTGTAGGTACCCCTTCAATTTCTCCAACAGCTCACCGTAGCTGATAATAATCTATCTCTTCACTAAATCTAAAAAAAATATTCCTATACACGATTTTTCGTTGTTGAAATTGTCATGGAAAGGGAAAAAAATTCTAGAATTTTATTTATTTATACATACTAGTTTTCACAACTCCACTTGAATGGGGGTTTATACCACTTTGACATTTCTTGATTTTATTGTTATTCAAAGAATGGGTTTATTGTAATTATATTTCAATTCTATCCTTCGAAAAGACAAAAAGTGTCGAAAGTTTTGCAGAGTAGAAAAGATTTTTACTTATAACCGCCCGACTGAATAAGCACTATTTCACTGAAAAGATTCAATTATAATCGAAAATTCCACTATACATATAAAACCAGTTTCTTTCTTCAAACTCAGTTTAAAATAAAATACGAATAATAAGCGCAAAATATTGTTCTCATCAATAGAAGTGGTAGGGTCTGATTTTAGTTTTCATTTCTCTCGGAACAATCGATAGTTTTCTGTTCCCACTTTTGTTATTTCGAAAAGGGTGGAAGTATTGTTTTCTACATGGGAATAAATTGCTGGATTTCGTTTGTTAGCTAAACAGCCTCTTAATAATATGAAAATACTACAAACAAATTTTTTTTCTCTTTCATATTTGATCCAGAATGAACCAATTTTCAATGTGGACCAATGGACCAATGAACGAAACATTTCATGGAAAATTGATTCATACCAGGTCATTACAAACATAAATAGCACAAAATGTTAATTTGCAAAACTTGTTAGTTGGACAATTAACCGTAAATTACTTGATTTAGAAGCAATTAGATTGATTATAATTTTCATTTCATTGAATAATTAAAAGTTGAATAATAATTGAAAAATAAAAAAAACATTCTTCTACGTCGAACATTTTCAAGTCAATTAGAAGCCCATCTATAAATATTTCACTTCTTGTAGTTTCCATTGGCATATTTCTAGGTAAGATAATTTGTATTCATCCTGTTAAAACATTCATATATCGTTGACTACTTATTTTGTGTGAGATTGGTGAATAGAAGAAAACATCATAAGTACTAAAATGTACAAATTTTATTGTATAAAAATTTAAATATTGAAATTACATTCAAGAATCATCTATACATATTCACATTTATTATTTAAGGTACTATTAATAAGTACGAATTATTTATTGAAACATCATTTATATGTGTCCAAATTAATTCTGTAAATATAAAATAACTACTCGAACATTTGTCTTTTTCCTCAACATCTCACAGTATAAATAAAAAATCGTTCATCTGCCTTCTACACAAACAGTATATATACATCAACCTATGAAAATTCTATAAAACTTTTTGTCAGTCTGAAAAAAATCAGTTTGGCAATTCTCGTTATTGTATTTTGGCACTTATATCTCCAACAGTTTTTCAAGTATCGATAGAAGATATACTTTCTCTGATCCAGTTGACGTTTGAGGAAATTTTATCATACATTCTGGGCCTTTCCAGTCCATTTTTCGCACAAGCTATCCTCCAGTTTGTTATTCCAACCAATGTCCATTTTTCATTTTCTCCATTCTGGCACATCATTGGACTCCCTGCAAATTCTTCTTCCTGGAATACAATCAACTTTCAATTTTAATAACGTACAACTCAGAACAATACTATTTTATTTTACATTTCAAAGTTCTAACTACCAACTCCACACTTCCACCGTTTTGGAAATGCTCAAAGGAAACAAAATGAAACTTCATAACCCCATCCAATTGAATTTGTTATGAAAAACAACTACGAATGTGGACATAGACATAGACATACTTTATTTGACTACGTTCATGTAATTTCCATTTGTAGCAAGTCAAAAATTGTATTTGAAAATAAATTCATTTGTATTTCCAGACAGAATATACAGCATAAACAATCAAACTCAACAAAACAATAATAACTTAAATACGATTAAAGATATTAAAAAACTAAATATATGAACATTCTCATGCGAATGGGGGGGGTGTCTAAATATTCTGCAATAGTGTAGAAACTTGAGCTGATGAGGAACTGTTTCACCTTTTGATTGAAACAATTGGGGGACAAAGATTTAACTTCCCTAGGCAAGTAATTATGAAGAATTATATTGGGAGAGTTAATAGCTTTATTCAGGTCTAATTTGATCTGCATGTCGAGTGGAGTTTGAAGACTTTTATTGAATTGGTGGAACTGTCCCACAATATTGTACCATATTCTATATGGGAGTGAAAGAGTGCGTAATAAGTAGTTAACAAAACATCTTCACTCACCACTTTCCTCAGTTGTTTTAAAATAAAGACCACACTAGACAATTTGGAGCAAATTGGTTCAATATGTTTCGACCATTTAAGGGTATCATCGAGGTTAACACACAGTAGTATGTGCGCACATACATTCGAAACATATTTTAAATTGATTTTTGTAAAGGAAATTGTACATAAGTAGGTAAGTAACTAATTAATGTTCAGACATAATTAGAACTGACCACGTTTACACAGATTACTAACAACCGATGTTACTAAAATCAACGGTGATGCCTGTTCAAACACCATTTTCGTCTAATGTAATCAAACCAGTTTAATAACGCTTCACTTTTAGAAAACAGATTGACTTCAATGATAAAACTTCAGGGACATGAAATTGTGTCTGAAAGTGAATTTTATTTTGAAATTATGGTTGAAAGAAACATGCTGAGACGTTGCTACTTCTAATTTGCCAAACACATTCAAAAACGTTTCAGAACAATAAAATATAAGTTCCCAATCGATATAGAAATTTTTGTTGCATTTTAGTTACTGAACTGACTCGACTGAATCAAAATCTTAACTGGAACTGTTCTATAGTCACCTGCTGGCGATTGCGACACAAGTGAAGGACCTACCAATCTTCCCAATCTGTATTATCCTATACCGCTCATAGAATTTCCACTTCCATAGAATTTCCACTTCTAAATAATGAACCTTCCTGATTCTATAAAAACGCAATAAACCTCCTTCATCTTTCTGTCTACTTAACTGATAAATGCATATTTTAGGAAAAAAAATCCGTTTCTTGTCTTATCACATAAGCAGACATAAAAAAAAACTGCCACCGAATTTTATCTACCAGTATGTTGTAGATAACACCAACACATTCCACTTTCGCAATGTCTCATTGACTTACTGTTTGTATGATACTTCAAATTTATCCTTATCCTCATCAGGTCCAGAAAAATTTCCATTAATTTTTTTAATTACCTACTTAACATTTACTGCAACACCATTTTTGTTAGATTCAATAACTCGCAATATTTCTCGTTACTGCCTATCACATATACCTATGTTCAGGAATGTGCATATAAATTCTCTCTTTTTCCGCTTATTACATCACTTTCCTACATGGAAGAATTTCAAACTAGTGTTAACATAATCGATCTTGAATCTAGATGCTTCCATTAACTCGACAAAGTTTGCGACCTTACGGATAAAAATGTCTACATAAACTAATATAAATAGATTTGTTTTCAATTCTGAAGACTCAGGCTGATTTTAGTTTTGGCAACATTAAGATAAGTATCTGTATTATTTCATAGCTCTTTTTTGATACGCAAAATCATTGTATATGACGAGATTCTGGTGAATAGAACATTTTTCTTTGTGAAAAATACTTTGAAATCACCTAGTAACTTATCGGGGTGAACTAAAAAGTTTGCACTTTCTACACATAAGTATATAAATTTCTCCATTACGATTTCCATTTTTCAGATTGTAGAAGGTGAAAATACATATCATATCTTCATTATGATTTCATATCACGTAGTAACCCCTACATCCATCAATTTACATATCATATCATTTTTAATTTCAACCAAATATTCACGAAGCATCCAGAATAATTTTACAACACAAACACTGCCATTCTCTTGCTGCATTTGTGAAGTTCCATAAGTTCCAATTCACAAACAGATACCGAAGTTGACAAGTGACAGGATGCTTTTATTGTTAAACAAAAAAACATTTTCTTGCATATTTGTTTGTCACAAATACTAACCAGATTCACCACTACTCACAAATATAAATAACGAACCTTTGGTCATTCGGTTAATCAGGAACTTTCCAGAAAAACGAAGAGAGTAGTGATCCGCTCTATAGATAAAATGAAAAGCAGAATACTTTCAAATATTGAACAGAACGGCCACCATTTCTAATATCTGCAGTGAACTGATGTGAATGTATGTATTTTAAGTACAAAGTCACGTTACTTGGATATTTCCATCAAATCTTTGAAGTTTTCTCTCGATTGGAAAACCAAAAGCAACAATTCAATAACATGATACTTTTTCATGATAAAACATCAAATCTGGCAACCAACAAATTCAGATCATTTTTTTCAAACCTACTTGAATTTTTGGTGGTACCAAAAAATAACAAATACCAACAACAACAACAAAGTTGATGATAAACCAATATCGTTTCGAACATTCATTATCTAATCTATCAAATGGCGATAGATTCGTCTTTTGATAAGTTTAACGGAAACTTTTTCTTGTTGATGGAAAAATCAAGTGGGTCCAACAAATTATAATTATTATAATTGAACATTTCTCGGAATACTTATCTCTTGAATACCACTGAATACGTCATGATCTAATCAAAATAATTGAAAATTTTGACAGGTATTTAATGTCGTCATCAAATCCGACACTGAAAGTGTAAATAATGTAATCGAAAATATAGAATTGTATTCAAAAATCCAAAGTTTGGGTGGCCCAAAGAATACAGAATCCTGCAAAACATTTTGATTAGTTTAGTTTCAGAGCTCATTAAAAGTTGCATTAAAATAATGCAGTTTTTGAAAGATTGTTAAAAAAAACAGATATAAAGCCGTCAAAATTAAACCTGAACCCTTCACCTAAATATCTGCTCATGAATATTTTTTTATCAAGCAACTAGAATCGAATATCTATCACTATTCTGAAAATATTTTTAAACTTACATTGCAATCATTTTGGCCAATCGCTGTTTCAGTGCAAATGCTATTCACATTCGAAATGCTGACATTTTCACATTTTTCCATGTCAGTCACCTTAACTTGCACCCTCTGCATTTGTTCCCTATTTCTAGTCCATCCCAAGGTATTGCAATGAGCTTTATTCAATATTAAGCCGGTGTTTTCATCGTGAAGGCAAATTGGCCTCACAAAATCGTTCATGATCACTGGTTCGTTGAGTCTGATCAAAGCTATGGTGCTGCCCTCTACCGGTGACTTTATCATTCCGATTATCATTCTCTCTTGCTCCCAAGGCGTTGAACTAAAACAAAAATGTTTTTGCAATAATATGAACAATTGGTTCAACAATAACAAAATATACAAATAAATGTACTGAAAATAAAAGTTTTTCCTATGGATATTTTCATTAGATAACTCTGTTACAAAATTAACTCATTTGGTCGTTGGTCGGTCGTTTTTGTGAGGTTTGAATGGCTCTTCAAATTTTCCCATGTAAAAATTCTCCACTACTGGGCTGAGTAGACTGCCCATAGCGACACCATCAACTTGTTCATAAAAGGTTTGAAAATAAGTTGTTGTTAGTGAGTGTCGAAATGAGTTGATATCTTGTGAAAAGATCTCCTCGAGTGGTACATTTGTGAATAACGATACTATATCGAAGCTAAACTAGATTATAGTTTGGCTCTAAAGTGATGCCTTTCAAATGTTTGATAAAGTCACTGGAGTCTCGGACGTACGTCTAAGTCTTGCCAACATGTTCCTGCAGCATATCCGACAAATGTTTGTCGAGGTTGTAGGTTGGTGATCCTATAGCACTCGATATCGGTCTCAGTGGTACATCCTCTTTGTGAATTTTCGGTAATCCATAGAGCCTCGGTGGTAATGCTTCTGATCTGCAAAGTTTCTCTTTCACCTCTGGTGGTAATGAAGATTCTCATCAGTTGATTAGTCATTCTTATGATTTTCTCTGTTGGGTCTTTAAGTGTTTAAGTGTTTAATACCACTGTTGCGTTTCCTTTGTCAGCAGGCAGAGTGTTGATATTTTCATCAGCAATGAGACTTCTTATGGCGACCTTTTCACCTTGAGAAATTTTGAAGAAAAAGCCATTCAAATCACAGAAAAACGACCGAAGCACTGGTTCAGGTATGTAGATGGCACGTTCGTTGTTTGGAGTCATGGAAAAGAAGAACTTCAGAACATTCTAAATCATCTCAATAGCTTCCATCCAAAAATCCAGTTCACAATGGAATTATAAGAAAACCTTCAAATCCCTTTCCTTGATGTTTTAGTCATCAAGGAAGGTATCAACTAGAAGAAAACACACACAGATCGATACCAACATAATGGATTCAAGTATCATCCAGAATAGAAACGAACCGTCATCAGCACCCTAGTGAACAGGGCTTTGAGAATATGTGAAGAAAGGTAGGTCGACGACGAAATAAAATACCTAACAACTGTATTACAAGCCAACGGTTACGACAAAAAAGCCATAATCCGCGCTACACGTCCAAAGGAAAAGAAAAGAAACACCAGTGAAGACCAACCCCAAAGCAAGGTCTAAATGCCATACATAGAAGGTGTCACCAACCGAATCGGGAAAATTCTAAGGAAGGAGAAAATCAGCACCGTCTTCAAACCAACTAAAAAAATATCTGAGTATCTGAAATCTATATCTGTCAGACTAAAAAACACGTTGGTACCTGCCTAGTCGAGCACAAGCGGAGTTGCCGATTGGGACAAACCGAGAAGTCTGCAGTCGCAGCACATGTACTGTCCGACGGGGAACACAAGATCCTGTTCGAAAATACCGAGAGGCTAGCAACTTCGAATCATTATTTAACAAGAATGTATTTAGGTGCCATAGAAATATACAAACATCAAGCGAACTTCAACAGAAAGGAAGAGAGAACATATCTAGCAAAGATCTGGCACACAGCTTTGAAAAGCGCCAAAACGAAGCCAAGTCAACCAAATCGCGCGGGAACCACTCGCGAATCCGCCATTACAGAAAGTGCGCGAAAAATCAGCACTATAAATGACATGGCAGAAATGGGAGCTTCAGTTTCAGTTGACACGTCAAGAATAGTACTTCGGCCACGCCACTGAAGATGACTTCGACTTGCAGTCGAAACGTTTGGAAATCATGGCCAAAGAAGACCATGGCAAAACCTAAAAACCAATCAAAACATTGACGCCAGCCGCGAAAGCCTACATTCCTATTTTTTTCCATTTTTCATTTCATTTCTATTTCCTAATATGCACCAATACTTTTTATTTTTTCAAAACTATCGGATAAAGAAAACTGTATATAGTTCATTTTCAAGTTTTTTGTAAGTATATTTTGTTGCCAAAAACAGCGGGACACTTTTAAGTTTATGTCAAGAAGGCTACATTTTGGTATACAGTGTGTCTTCTTGACTTTGTCCCCATACAATCCAGAACCACCTTATATTTTCATAATCAGAAGAGGGAGTCATTCTCAGAAAGATATTTTCATTCTCTATAAGACGTTGTTTTCTTATTTTTTTAATACGTTTTTGATAAATACGGATGGGCAATGAAACTTGATTTTGCTATAAACATTCATTCTCTACATGACTATAGTTTTGTTTAGCAGTTTCCACATGTTCTGTTTGATGAACAGAATGAACATTTTCTACAAAAATTTACATTCTTCTCTTGACGAAGACTCCATCAGTTGAATGAAATGGGTGAACAATATTTAAATACTATATATAGGGTCAATACATCGGTACGATTGTTGATGTAAGAAGTGCGTACTAGCAATGGTTTACACATTGTAAGACAATATTGACTTGGTAGATTTTCATTATTAAAACAATAATTGTGTATCATATCTGATGAAAAAGTTTTTGCAGACAAGATCAGTAGTGAAAAAAATTGAAATTCAGCTAGCAATGAGGAGTGAAATGGTATAAATAGCTATCTGCGTATTGATTCTGGATACTGGGGATACTGGAGCGACACTCATCATCATGTGTTACGGGAATCACGTACGCAACAACCTCTAAATAATCAATGTGTAGACTGGTTATCTTGCGAAATCATATTATCGGTCTAACTGATTCAGTTATTTACAACTTTGGAACGATGAAATCAACTCCAGGATAATCGAAACACAAAAACAAGATGACAATCTCACAAAAAACGAATTTATGTTCCATTAACAAGAATTGACTGTGTATTGACAAGGGATGTGTATCTATCTCAAACCATTAGACCTTTTTCAACACTGAAAACCGTTAAAAGTAATCAATAGCAATAATAAACGTTGGATGATGGAGATCAGGTTTTGAAAATAAATGAAATAGAAAGATTTCAAATAAAAATATCTCGTCAATTCTTATTTCTCCATAGTGTATTCATAAAAATGGAAAACGAAAACAAGGTCGTATAGTAAACAAAAACACCTCACAATCAAAGTATCCACCAGTGTTCCTATTTGAAAAAATATCAGGTGGCCTATATTTATATACAGTTTTTCAGTATTTATTAGTTTGTTAGAGATAGGAAGCATAGGTGCATATTCAGAAAATGTAGTGAAATGCATATTTTTCCAGTCATGTGTTCATAAATTCAAATCCTAAATTACAACTGAAAACTCGAAAATTTTTCAAAATTACAGAAGTTTGACTTTGAACTCGATATTAAAGTTGTAATTTCGAGTCTGAAGTGAAAATTCCGCAAATACACTCGAAATTTCGAAATTGATTTTGAAATTTGTAATTCAAAGTCGAAGTGTCGAAATTGAAATTCGAAATTCCGACTTTGAACTCAAAATTTCAACTTTAATTCGAAATTACGACAATAAACCCGGGATTTAAAGTGTGATTTCAATTTCAAAGTCGAAATTTGGTATAATCTGTTCAAAATCTGTTTTTCCGTTAACCAACTGTCGCACCCCTACGAACGACAACCTCAGAAGTTGAAACTTGTGCGAGCTAAGGATTAACGAGGTCTTACCTCTCAAAGTGTGATATTTAACACGATATTTTGAATATGTTGACAAGCGTACCTCAGGGATCAGTACTCGGGCCTCTGCTATTTATTTGTTTTATAAATGACCTTCCGACTTACTGTTCTGCTGCTTCTCTATCGATTATCTATACCGATGATGTTGTCTTGTTATATCAGCTGATAGTATTCCCACTATGCTTAGTAGTGCGCAGGAAGCTAAAAATCAACTCTCCGATTGGTGTGATTTCAATGGACTAGTTCTCAATATAACCAAAACTCCTATGAGTAATTTTGTAACAAAAAACTCTTCAATAGACAGCAGCTACTTAGTGAAATTGATCAACACGTCAATTCGATAAGTCTCTGACATAAGATTCCTAGGAATCAATATGGATTCTAAACTCACCTGGAGCAACTATATTGAATATATAAAAATCAAGCTTAGTAAACAAATATTTCTACATATTTGAAAAACACACTCTCTCTTGGTATATTTTAATCTTATTCAGTCAGTCATCTGCTATGAAATAATTCATTGGGGCACAAAAAATATTCGCCATTCAAAAAAAAACAGTAAGGTTAATGATGGCGGTACACCTGAGTGAACACTGCAAACCACTCTTTGTTAAAATTCGTATAATGACTCTATCATGTTTGTTTATATACCACTACATTGTCTATGTGAAGAAATATATTACTAATATTCCTACTTGTGGACACTCTCATGACTATCGTACTAGAAATAAATATAAACTACAACAAACATTCACTAGATTATTAGTGTCACAAAATCGTCCAGGATCGATGGGGGTCAGGCTCTATAATGCTCTTGACGACAATATGAAATGTGTCCCTAGCTTACATTCCTTTAATGCTAAGCTGAAAAATCATCTCGTGCTAAATGCACCCTACTTCGTTGACGAATTTCTACAGAAATTGATTTCTTCTCACCGATTGTTTGAAAAAACAGCTGCTTTTAACATGTTTTTAGGTACCTATATTTGTGCTAGTAATTGTAATTTGTGAATGCTCTTCTGTTTACAAGTACTATTCTTCTGTTTACAAATACTCCTTGACTCTGATGGTCAGTTTAATTTTAATGTTAAGTTGATTGGTGTCTGTCTTTAATAAGCACATCTGACATGTTACCTAAGTTAGTATGTTACAATGTAGGTATTGTAATTGAACACTTCTTAGACTAATAAATTGATTAATTGATTGAAATCAAAATTTCCAGTTTAAAATTGAAATTTCGAGATTGCAGCTGAAATTTCAGCTTTTGTAGTCAGAAGTTCAAGGAGCAAATTTTCGATATATACATATTTTGTTCAGTTATAAACAAAAATAGAATCCATTTTTGCCCCCACGAAATCATTGCCATGTTTAACAAACCTTGACAAACGAGTAACTCCGAATCTGGCAGTCCATTCAGCTTTTGGTTGACCTTGAAAACAAGACGTAGACGTTGCTATCCAATTCGGAGATACCAAAGTTCCATCACATATATGAACATCTTCTTTAAAAAGTGCAGCATGCCATGGCCAATCACCGTGAGAAGCCATCTTAGTCAGTACCTTAATTCCGGTTGGTCCATGCGTATTTTGAATTCCACACTCTGAAAATGCGCTAAATGTAGTGTTGCCTTGGAATTGCCTTGAATATTAATATTAATGAGACACTCACGTAATTCTGAACAAGAAACTTTGAGTACTTGTTTCGATGGGCATTCAGATCTAATGAAACTGATCTCTGGAGCTGTGGGATTTTTCATTCTCACATATGAGATGCCATTTTCGAAGTCCACCTCCACATTCACCGATAACACGTTCCTGAAAAAGGCGTAATGGAAGTATTAGGAAATAAAATTGTTTGATAATCTTCATAACAGAAAGAATTGGCGAGAGTCAACAGCTTCCTTGGGTTTGAAAAGAAAATTGTCCACTTTCCCAGCACAAAGAAATTATTACTTCCAAATATTTTGGAAAAAATAACTGATCTTATGCCATCGTAAGTGGTGATCAACAGTAACTCCAAGATAGTAAATAATAGATTTAAAATTATATCAAAAACTGTGATGAACCTCATATAGTCGTAAATCTTGAACCTAACTCATAGCGTAGACAACTTCGCTCCGAAACTTCATTTATGATATGTAATATCTGATCACATGTGACTCCCAGAGGTTACTTTCAGATAAATAAAANAACTCATAGTGTAAACAACTTCGCTCCGAAACTTCATTTATGATATGTAATATCTGATCACATGTGACTCCCAGAGGTTACTATCAGATAAATAAAAACATTTTACTATCAGATTTCAGTGACAAAAAAATACTTCACCGACAATCGTAATATAGGATTTTTGGTATGTAGTTGAAAAACTTACTCGTAAGTCAAAGTTTTACAAAGCGAAGATGCAACTGCGTGAAGAACCGCGAACGTCTGATTGGCTGGCAAACTTCTGTTGATATTTTCTGTGCACAATTTTCCGACTTCTCCTTTTTCATTGAAAATAATGAATCCCTCTGAATTGTACCGTGAAAGGTGTGGTGTCACGACTTCAGCTTTCTGTATGATGTCCACGCTTGGGGCTAGGCTCACTATTCAAACAAAAAATATTTATATCAGAGTTGGTTTCTGATGATTTTGATGGTTTATGAAATTCATTCACCACCTACCGGCTTGTTCGATTAAAATCGATTAGCTGTATTTTATTAAAGAATAAATCCATTGTCTTGATTTCAAGAAAGGAATCTTCTAAAAGTTTGAAGTACAATGAAGAAATGTTATGATAAATAATAAGAATTTTTTTTCTATTTAGACTTCTCTAATAAATCGGCTTGTTGAAGTGACTTTCAGTGAAACCTGAGTACATGTTAAATAACAACATATTCAGTCTATCAATTATACTGGTGATCAAAAAAACCGCACAGGAATCCTTGCAACTTTCGTACGATACTTTATTCTTCATTACAATTTCATTCAGATTCTTGTAACTCAGATTGATAACTAATTAGGATTTCAACATCTTATTAAATTGGTTTTTTTGAATTTAATTTTTTCATATATTTTTAAAAGTCTTTATGTCTTTTTACTTAAGCTTCACACCCATTAATTCGATAACTTTGTTTCCACAATTTTCCACATATAAGTTTTTTTATTTTCTGTTTTGTTTCAAAATTATTATTCGTTTGATAAAAATGGATTGGGGCCTTTACCAATCAACAAACATTTTAAAATCACAAATGAACAAGAAGTGACGACTTACAATATAGTCATTTAAAATTAACGAATGATTGAACTAATTAAATAAAAAATGCACATAACTAAGCAATCATGAATTACATTTATTAACACTATAATCCAGTTAGAACTGAAATATACTTACAGTGTTTGAACAATGTTTGTGTATATTACTGGAGTTTTTTTCCAACACTATACCGTTATTTCAACACCTCGACGCGTGTTTCGATAACCACGTGATCATCTTTCTCTTGAAGATGATCATTTGGTGATCGAAACACGTGTCAAGGTGTTGAAATAACGGTTTGGTATTAGTAAAAAACTCCAGTAATATTCATTACTACACCAAAAATTGCAAACAGTGCATCATAAATGTTTGTGTACATAAATAATTATCAAATGCAGTTTTCTAACTATTGTACTCCTTTTTTCATCTAAAGGAAACCTTTTGAAGTATCTTGTCTTTATTGTATTGTATTGCTTTTATTATCTCAAGAAACATTAAACATTTATAAACAGGAATTTACAACTAAAGATTCAAAATGTATTGAATTATAAATGAACAAGTACGATACTGGCAAATCGTGTGCACGATGTTTAAGAGCAGAAAATAAGATTTAATGGTTGATATAGCATTATAATACCATAAATGCGGAATAATCCACCGAATCTTCGGAAAATATCAATAGTAACAATGAAGTTTCAGTGAAATAACTCTACAGTTTGCTATTCATAAGTTACTTTCTCAATTTACTGTAATGTTTTTATCACACAGCAGTCAATGTTGACTAGACTTTATTTAGTTGAGAAACTGATTCATTTACAATAGTAAATACATTGTCACATTATAAATAAAATAATATCAATATGAAAAAATACAAACATTCTGATTCAAAATACATATGTATAAATAAAAAGTTACATAAGAAAGTCATACATAGGAATATACTATATTTTCATTAAGAAATCCTTCAATCGTCTTTTGAATATATTTATCGAACCACTATCTTTAATTTCTTGTGGGAGGTCATTAAAACAATCTACTCCTTTATAAAATGAAGAATTATGTATACTATTTTTTTTGTATTTTGTATATATTGTATATTGTGCCTGTTTCTTGTATTGTACTCATGTATTTCAGCCACACAAGTTAATTTATTCTGTAGATATATAGGTGAATATCCAATTCTGATTTTGAAAATAAAAATTAGTGTTTAGTACTGGAAGAGTTTCTTCACAGGTAGACATTGAAGGTTCTGCAACATATTTGCTATAGGTGTTATCCTCGAATATTGTAAGATTATTCACATAGCACGATTCTGCATCTTTTCGCATAGCACGATTTCATTTTGATTGAGAAAAAACAGAGTAGTAGAACAATAATTTAAATGTGAAAGGATTATGGAGATGTATATCTATCTATTCATACCTTAAAAGGTACCTCAAGCATCACAATTATCAATATGAAATTTTAGATAGCTCTACATGTATCGGTAATTATAATGTAATTATGTACACCTACTCTGGACGTTAATTTATTCTGTCATCTCAAGTTTGTGTTTATTTTTTTAAATTTTCACATGATGTCAAACATTAATTGGTCGTCTTTCCTCGTAAACCCTCAGGAACACCTCCAATTTTGATGATATTTTTTTAATTTTATTGGAAAACAAAAATCTTCTGACGCGGATACAGAATATTCATATTGTTTCACCAATATGTATTTTGTGGATATATTAATGATGGAATTGGGATCGAATAGACCCACTCACTTTGGACTTACGATTTCATTCAGGCGCTTCAGTTTCATCATTATTATATCCAAATTTTGTAAATATCTATTTTAATAATAAACGAAGGATTAAAAAAGTGAAGAAATACATTGCACTCCTCATATGAATATCACGCATATTGTTTGCCTGCTTGGCCCTGCTTGGAAATGTTTCTGATTTTAAGTGATATAAAAGAGAACATTTCATTAAAATCGGAGCTGTTTGAGGCTCCTGAAGATTCCCTTTTTACCTATTTCTTGATAGGACTATAAGTAGATATCGCTCCGAACATTTGATTAAATAATGTTCTACCCCGAAAAAACATGAAATTGCCTGTTTTTATTTTCAATTTGTTTTTTTCGTATTATATGATTTAATTTGATCTTCCGATTGAACAAAATTTTCCCTAATTTCCCAAAATCTTATTGAACATTTTATATTTTCCGTTATCTTCTATATACTATTATGTTTCATTTCGATCTGAATGCTGCGCAATTTCCGTTACTTCCATGAATTTTTTTAATGAGAATCACCTTTGAAACCTCAAATTTTCCTATCTGTGATTGAATATTTAGACAATGATTCATCAAACTTTACTTATCATATACTGTAATCTTGTTTATCCCTAATACGGTTTTTTATCGAAGTATTCTAGTTACTCCGTTTACTTATCTGTGAACTGTGTTTATTCACAATTAATCAGTTGTTCAGAAATACCACTTTTGTTCCTAGATCAGTCAGTACAACACTCTTGAAAAAAATATACAAAAGATGGAATTTTTTAAAGTACAAATATGAAATGGAATAGAGTATACGAGAATTGTTTATAGCCTGACTTGAATCTCTAATAAAACCCCATGAAAAGTTTATACTTTTATCACGAAACAGTATCATCATTAATAAACATGGTGTTTTGAAACTATGGGATATACCAATAAAAGGATACATTAGGGTAAAAGAACCTATGACCAAATATGTCTCTCTGGAGACGGCCATGGACTAAAAGTATGCTTTATCAAGAGTCTATTTGATTTTTCTGTACGTTCTGACACATGAATCATTGTGTCTGCAGGTTTTTACTCCTGACATTTTAATCTACTATTGCGGAAGACATCATCAAATTTGATAGTTGATAAAAGATGATTTTTGAATCAACCAGAGACGTCGTCTATCTGTGAATAATAATAATGATATTTCGAATGTTTATTTCCAATCACCATTTGTCGGTCTTTAGCCGACAATTGATGCTTCCAAATTGAAATTCGAAAAATCCATTCAAAATGAAATTTCTATTCTTCGAAAATGTTCGAAGTGGTCATTGATCAATATGGTTGAGAATCGATTCTATTTTGGATTTATTTTTTTTACATTCGTTACTATGGAAAATATGTATCCACGTTTTACTATTACTGACCATCACTGAAATCACTCAAAAAATACCGTACCTGGATTCAACTTAATCAAATAATCTCACCTCTCAATTCAGCTTTAATCTGATTAAACAAAATTGAAAATCCGCTAAGAACAAAACAATGAGTATATTGTTAGTATTGTTCGATTCATGGATTCTACGTAAGATAAAGGGATAACATTCATTGAAAAAACAGGAAATGAGCTCATTAGACTTGATAATATGAATGAAAGGATAATATATTTTTGAACTGACGAAATGAAAATAAAAGTGTGGCAGTGAACTGAAACGACAAGGTAAATCGTTGTTTATAGAATAAGAAATAAGAAGTGCAAAACTATGGTATTTTCTTGGAGCTGTCTGACTTATTCATTTCTTCCGAATCTTCAAAAAACACTGCAGTATCAAGGACTCATTGCGTTTTCCACCCATCCTTCTCATAACACCCATTCCAACAATCCTGTTCCCTGTACTAGTTTATACAGGTATCTTGCTGGTCGTATGTTATATTATTCTGGACACAATTTGGTTTGTCCTCAAATGTTTTGCCTCTGGTTATCCATAGTGATGATCTGTCCCTGTCCCTTTGTTGCATTACCTTTAGTTGAGGTCTCCGATATACAATCCTATTTTGTTCAGGTGTCCTCTCAAAGGATATTGTCCAGTGAGTAGCCCTGTAACTGTTCTGAGCCGATTCCTGCTTTGTTGGAGGAGTCCTTCGGTTTCCTTCTCAGACGGTCCCTTCATAAGTTTTCCCGTATGTTTTCCCAATACTCTTTGTTTCTTAAAGTATAGTTCTTATATATAGAATTGAGGATCCGTCTCTATTACACTCGTCAGCTTTTTCATCTTCCATAATGCCTAAGTGCCTTAGTACCCAGTATATAGACAATCTATTCCTATTTGCCAATTTCCTCAGTTCTTCACGGTATTTCCAGACCAGCTTTGAAGTCATATTAGGTTCTTCAAGGTAACTCGTGCAGTCTGGCTGTTTGTGAAAATATTGACTCGCCTATTTTATTGAGGCCTCGAATTGATTTTTCTTGCGCATTGCAAGATTGCACACACTTCAGCCTGGAAGACCGATGTGTACTGGCCGAGTGGGTAACTATTTCTCTCCGCACAGTATTATTCAGCTCTCGTCTCATGTTTGGTTTTCAAACCATCTTATATATCAGATGTTCCTGTCGAGCATATTTTCGGGATTACTGTTCATTCTCCACTTTTCGCGGACAAAGACCTTAACCACCTAGTTTGTGTCGAATATGTTGGTGTCATATGATCCGAGAACATGTTAGATGTTCGTTCCTCCACATATTTCGAGATTTATGTAGGCTGATGAATTTTCCAGTCTGTATTGGCCCACTCTTGCTTGCTTTTCCAATCATTACGAGAGAGAGATTCAAGAGTGTCTCCACTGGAGATGTTGAAGTAGTTTTCAATAGCGTTCGTTTGTTTTACATTTGCTTGTTATTGTGGATTCAACCACCATAATGTAGAGCCAATATATCACTTCTGGTTTCAGCCCCCATGTCTTTCCAGGGGTGCATCTGACCTTTTTTTTCATTATAAATGTTGGTTCCAGAATAACAAAATTAGTTAGCTCGCTAACTATAATATTAAAGGGGAACTGTTGGAAGATGGGTTGCACTGGATCATTTACTAACAATACCTTCGCTTGCTTGGCTTATTAGCTTCGGCAGGGCCGAAACAATAAATTTCAAAAATTGTTTTATGGTTTTCAAGATTTTCACTTCGTCTGAGCATTGATAAGATTTTGCGTAATCACCAATGAAAAATTGTTCTAAAATAGAAGTCTTCTAATGCTGTTCAGATCAGAAATGTACAGATTATTGAACAATATTCATCTTTAGAAACTCAGATATTTCCGAGGGGATCCTGTAGGATTGAATAAATACTCACAGCATCCTCTTTCATCACTTCCATCTGGACAGTCAACGTGACCGTCGCATCTTCTTGATCTGTGAATACACGCTCTTCCTATGCCACAATGGAGGTGGTTTTTAGGGCAGTAGCTGCAACTTTTTTCATCAGAGACATCTTGACAATCTATGACGCCATCACAAATTCGTGGGGACAAAGCTCTAGATTGAAGTTCATCGACACATCCTGTATAGCCTGACTTGAATCTCTAATAAAACCCCATGAAAAGTTTATACTTTTATCACGAAACAGTATCATCATTAATAAACATGGTGTTTTGAAACTATGAGATAAACCAATAAAAGGATACATTAGGGTAAAAGAACCTATGACCAAATATGTCTCTCTGGAGACGGCCATGTACTAAAATTATGCTTTATCAAGAGTCTATTTGATTTTTCTGTACGTTCTGACACATGAATCATTGTGTCTGCAGGTTTTTACTCCTGACATTTTAATCTACTATTGCGGTAGACATCATCAAATTTGATAGTTGATAAAAGATGATTTTTGAATCAACCAGAGACGTCGTCTATCTGTGAATAATAATAATGATATTTCGAATGTTTATTTCCAATCACCATTTGTCGGTCTTTAGCCGACAATTGATGCTTCCAAATTGAAATTCGAAAAATCCATTCAAAATGAAATTTCTATTCTTNCCTCTTTTTTAAGTATTTAAATATTTCTTCAAAGAAAAAGGTTGAAATGATAAGTTTAAAATGCGTTGTTTTAGAGCTCTTTTATGAAAATTACTTGATTTTCGTCAGGAGGAACATTTCCCATTATTGAAGTAACAGTCAAAAAATAAACTATTAGTAAACTTTCTGTTTTGATGAAGAGATCTTATATTTTTTAAAGAAGTTCGTATTCCCATAGTGATCCAATGTTTCCGTTTCTTTTTGTTAATTCTTTGTTTGGGAAACGCGGTCTCAAAATGTTCAACAAGTATTCCACAGAATTCCTTCGAATGGTGTCTCTACTAACAACACACTATTCCAATCAGTACATGAACATAAGTGATGAAACGTATTATAATTTTTTGTAGAGTAGATTCTACCAAAGTTAGGTTATTTCTTGATCTGTGCAATTTGAGTTTTATTTTACTAAATACAGCCACATGGTCAGATAAATTGGAGGTAATGATTAAAGACTTCAAAAGCAAAAGGGAAATGTATAATCAAACACTTTTTGATTGGTTATATTCATCTTTCAAGAATGGCCTTCTTTATAATTGAAAGAGCATCAGTTGAATTTTAATATATTCAAATTGAATTTTAAAATCCTTCAAATGACATTTTGTTAACAACACGAATGCATACATTGGTCTCAATTCGTATCTACTGTAGTTTCCAAAATCCCAATGCTGAATCGGTGTATTCATTCTTGTCATTTCTATTGTTTCGAATTCTTTTGTAGAATATTTTGTGACACTGACAGGTCTCAGTTGTCTTTTTGATCAAATCAGCAACAGTTAAAAAAAACAGAACAGCTGCACTATTGTAACAATTCAAGAATTAACTATCTTAAACAAATTTATTCTCAATAATATTTCACTAATCACAAACTCATTTATTTACAACACTTAGCAACTACCGCTTAATTTATTTCGACAATTTGAATTCCTTGTTTAACCGCTCGATTCACTTTCTGAATTCCCTCTTGGGTCAGTAAGCCGGGCTTATATAGGTAGCGGTATTTTCTAGAAATCTGTAGTTGGTTCGATACTCAACTAGAATTTTACCGGCGGTTGCCGACTGCATCCTTTCGCGGTGGTGTCATGTGTTTGTTCGTTGGCCGGCATATCGGTCAGGGTCGGCTTCAAATTCGTTACAATATTTTCTGATCCTGCGTCCTAACTTATTGCGGTACTGTGTCGAAATAGATATTATTTATCTCATCTACATGATCGTTTTAGGTATAAATGTCGATAACCATACATGTTTCTTACCGTCATCAAAATTCAGTGCCTTTTTTTGGTATGTATGCCCCGTTTTTCCTGGAAATATTCGACATTTATCTTTTTTCTAACTGAAAGTGTTTCATACGATAATTTGGAATATTCACCAGTAGGAAAATAGCCGAATTTCAGTCTGAAACCTCAGAAGCTTCGATAGTTTCAGTTTATTTTAAATTCAATTGCTTTTTTCCTGTCTTTGGAAAAGTTCCCCACATTTTTTTGTATGAAGATGGAGAAGTGTCTCATAGAGTATTATTGCTAAGGACCTCCAGAACTTTGAGATGAAGAGATACATCTGTTGGGTGAAGTCAGATACTGTGAGTGACAATATTGACCTGGAATCAACATCTAGAAAGAGTGAAAAAAAAAGGCGGCGTTAGCACGGATGCTGTCCGAATGCTAAAACCAGACATGATGTATTATCTCTATATCATGATGCTATAAACCTTGATAATCATGCATCTATGGTCTGGTGAACAAAGATCAAATAAACGCTATTGGCAGATTAAGCAGGGTGCACAGATTGGTATGTTTGGGAAAAACGGGAGCAATGAAAAGTACACCAAAAGCTGCATTGGGGACATTATTTAATCTTCCCCCTGTANGTTAGTTTTTTCTACACTGGTAGTTTTTGTTGAATCTAGTTGTCGCAGAATACTTCTTCACGAATTATTATCATCCTTGTTAACTGTGTTCTAACATGGTTTATTCTTCTGAAGAAAGAATAGAAATTGTTGCAGCCTATTATCAAAATGATGAATGTGTTAAAGCTGCTCCAAGAATTCATAATACGAATCATCCAGACCACAAAGTTTTGAACTTCAGGTTTTATTCACAACAGAAAACATGAAATATCCCGTCCTGTCAGAAATGACGAAGTTGAAGTTGTAGTTTTAGGACATGTACAAATGGATAATCGAAAATCTATTCGACAAGTAGCTAGAGCGTCTGGATATCAGCTGCTAGTGTTTTTCGGATTTTGAAAGCCTACAAAGTCCATCCTTTCAGAATAAGGATAGTTCAGGAATTAAACGAAGATAATCCTGATCGTCGACTTCAGTTTTGTGAGTTGTTCAGCGGGAAGTTGACCAATAACCTAAACCTATTATACAATACATGTTTTTCAGACGAAAGTTCTTTCATGTTGAATGGTGAATTGAATAAACATGATTGTTGTTACTGGAGCGGTGTGAATCCTTATTTATATAGTGATGGAAACACATTCACAAACTCCACAAAAACTGCAAGTCTGGGCCGGCATTCTTAGTAATCATATTGTTGGACCATTCTTCATTGAAGAAAATCTCGATGGAGACACATACTTAAATCTATTACAAGACTGTATAGATCCTATGATTACACAAATTGTAGAAAATGATAACAATTAAGTAGAAAATAAAATTACATTCCAGCAGAATGGTGCACCCCCACATTTTAATATTCGGTTGAGACAGTTTTTGGAGGAACGTTTTCCAAAGTGCTGGATCGGCAGAAGGGGTCTAGTGGAGTGGCCAGCTAGATCACATGATCTCACACCGATGGACTTCTTTCTGTGGGGATACCTGGAGTCTGTTTTTTCTTGAATAACACGTTCAACATTTAATATTTCAATAACGAATGAACCGATTTCGAAAAAAAATTACAGAGGTGATAGAGGGACAGAAGACCTTCAAAGTGATGTATCACTCGACCCTCCATGCCATTGAAAACAATTGGAGGTAGTTGCTAACCGCGGGGGTGAAGTTTCGAGTATGATTTTCATATCAGAATATATTATATTTGTCAAGCTCAATATATTGCGAGCATTTGAAGGGTCCAAATGGAAAACGACGAGGTTACATATTATGTCGGAATTGAGATTTCACTGGCATCGTTTACTAGTGGCATGGACTAAAAATATCGTTGAAGAATATAATGTTCTGCAGCTGAAGAGATATGAGACTCCTAAGCGCCCTATAAGGTTCCAGCTTCTTTCTCTAGTCTTTCAGCACGTCAAGTTACCTCCCATTCACTGCTTTCTGTGATTGTTCTCATCAGCTTCAAGTGTGCTTTTGTTCATTTCAAGAAAGAATTTGAACACTGATCTGCGTACACAAATGTTTCCGTAGACTCTTCTCTTCGGTTACAAATTCAACAATAAAATAACGTGATCACTTGGTATATTTTGAAAGTAGGATAAATCGTACATATTTAATAAATTATTCTCTGATCGTCACACGTGACACAACGGTAGCAACCTGATGAAAAAGTTGTCGACTTTGAGTAATTGCGTCAGAATTGGTTATTGAGTTCCGATTAAATATGATCGTAGATTGTTATTCGAGAACAGGTGATTGTGAGAGTAGTAATTACCAATTCAGTTATCGGATACTTATCAGAATGGAATTGAGGTGTTTGTAAAATTTGATGGAGCAAATTTAATTCACAGTTGTATTTATTGTATTTGAATACATTTCAAATCAAAACTTATTATATTTGTACGAATACAATGTAAACAACCAGCGATCCGGCCCGGCTCCGCAGGAGTGCAATGCTGATACTGAATATACATATAAACGCTCAGATCGCTGCTTATCTTTCAAAATGAAATATTTTAAAACTCAAATTTTATTTATTTGTATATCTATAGCATTTCTCGTCATTTCGTTAGACATGACAAATACCTAAACCAAACAACCAGACGGTCTGGTTTAAATCTACTTTCGCATCACATACTTTTCACGAGAGGCAAAGGGCCTCACAAAGACCTGCCGCCCGGAGCCTCGCAATGGGTGTAAGGCCGCCGCTGCCGGTAAGTATTAAAAATTCCTCAACCAGATTTCAAATTAATCTCATTTTCAGATTCACTGAGAACCAACACCCGCTCGCGACTAAAAAGACACTCGTCTCCGATTAGTTTCTGGTGACCCCATGCGATAATTCACTTAGGAAAGTCATGATGAAACAATTCATTCGACCAAAGAAGGTCAGATGTCAATCTTGGTGAAGTGCCTATCAGTAAGTTAAGGACCGCTCCGGAGGAGCGGGGGTGGATGGACGAGATGAGATGTTCTGCACACATTAACCTTCTGGGGAAGATTTCAACTCAGGGCATGGAGGGCTAATCATGAAGTGCTGAAGGGCGACGCGCTAGTTATAGGAACGCGCCGCCGGCCGGTACCGCCGCAGCCGCTATGTCCCTGCATTTTAAATCTGTATTATCTTCGAAAATATTCATTTGTATTAC